CGGGATAAAGACATAATAATATTTTTTCTAAATTTCCCTTTAAAAAAATATGTATGCGGTATCATTAGATGTAATCTAAAGCCAAATGTCGTCGAAATAATTTAAAATTGTACTTACATATACATAGTCTTCTACATCTACAACATTTTCGTTAAATAAAAACAGCTAAAAAGTTATAAATAAAAAAAATATTATTAAAAAAACAAAATACCCGACTGCACACTAAAAAAAGAGTAAAACAAGCCCCACAATACAAATTTACTGAATATAATTTATAAATGTTGATGGAAAGCATCGCAGGCGGGGACCACCTTGACCGCCACCAACGAAAATTCTGCTAAATGGTGCACAACAGAAATGACTATAAATAAGCCTCTGTTGGTCCCCGCCTGCGATGCTTTCCATCAACATTTATAAATTATATTCAGTAAATTTGTATTGTGGGGCTTGTTTTACTCTTTTTTTAGTGTGCAGTCGGGTATTTTGTTTTTTTAATAATATTTTTTTTTTCTCTAAAAAGGTTTAGATAGATGGATAAAAGCATTCGTGCATATGGCCCAGTCTTTTTTAAATTAATCTCACTATCCTACTAATATACCTATAGACTAATGTTATAAATTTGAAAGTTTGTGAAACTGTTTGTTATTCTTTCACGAGACTGGGTCGAAATTAGGTGATATCCTGGATTAACAAATAGGGTCCCTTCTTTTTATCAACATACCACGCGGGAGAAACCGCGGGCATAAGCTATATTTTTAAATTTTAAATCATTGACACACATGTGAACCCATACTAAAGCTGGTGCCAGGTTTAATCAAAACGCGTGTAAAGGCAAAACTAATGTAACAAATGGTGTGATGAGGAAATAAAAGCATTATTTTTAAACTACTGTAGTATATTTTTAAAATGAATAAATTACATTTATTGATGTTACATTCAATGTTCTTAACATAGTTTCATGGAACATAATAATGATGAAAAGATTTTTGTCTACAATAAATATATATTAAATTAATTATGCACGCTAGCGCTAGCAAAAGCTACCTACCAAGTATAGAAGTATGAAACTGGATTCTTTAGCGAATTTTAATTATTGTAGTATAGACTACTTCGTGTCTTCAAACCAAATTATTTCCAGTTTTTAGTACCAAATTATTACATCTTCCAAGCGTACAGCTCATCACCACATGCCCAAAACTACTTTTACTAAGGTGTAGAATTTCTAAACGATTTCCGTGTGGCCAACTCGCCAGTCGAGTCTTCGAGTTGCACGCCTACGATGTTAATAGCGGGAAAACGCTGCTACGCGCTACGAACTACGAACTACGCGCTACGCGCTACAAGCTTCGGTTGCAGGATTTCGCCGCACATCCATGCTCGGTTTCCGAAAGCCCGATTAATGTTAAAATCAACTCACTAGGTCTCAAATCTCTTGTCAAGTCATCTGATTGGTTGTTGATAATTCAGTCAACTAATCAGATGACTTGACAAGAGATTAAATTGATTTTAACATTGATCGGTGTTTCGACAACCGTGTGTCAGTGTAAAAAAAAATATTATTTTTTAGCAATGTATGCTATAAGGAAAGACACGTTGTAGCAACATTATATTTAAAATGTAATTTCCAAATGCTTCATCTTCATCATCAACAGCATCATAACAATTGATCTGTTAATTAATCATATGAAATACCAATTTTTTTATTTTTTTATTATCTGATGGTTTTGCTGAAGTTTGGTACTTCAGTAAAACTCCTTTTTCGTATGTCAAAACACTGTGTATAAATTTTACAAATGTTCGATGCACCTCTACTATTGATTTCTTCTTTTAGCAGTTCATAAAGACGTTTATTTATTTTACAAGAATAATATTCAAGCTTAAGAAAATATTCAACAGATATATTCAGAAAATATCCAACCTAAATTTAATGAAATATAACCTTTTACATACTTCTATACGTGGTACGTGCTTGAAGTAATTAGCTTATTAATAAGCACCGAATAATTAATATCAGTTTACATAAATATGGCACATGTATAGCAGTCCTAATTTATCCCACTCAATGAGCAGAAGCTCTACTCTTACCAGTCTACTCTGGACGGCTAAAGAAGACAAGCCAGTCAGCCAGGCCAGAGTTTAGGAACACAATTATTCTCCCACACTTTACCTGCCAGCCTGCAAGGGTCACTACTAGCCTCTACAAGTACCTTGTAAATACATGGATTCAAGTGCCCTGAGCTGATTGATAAAGGTGTATCACTACACGAGTATAGACTATGTTAATTAAAATAAATAGGCACTATCGCTTCATAAAACCTATCCACAACAAGTATCTAGAGAGCCCTCACATATACAGTATACCTAAATAATCTACAATTTTATTATAACACATATGAGTAAATACACTAACATTCAACTTTTGAAAAATCGAAAGTACATTCTGCTTAAAATCAACTTTGTTTATATACAAAAAATACAGGTCACATGAAATTGTGTGGAAGACTTAAGAAAATTGTGGGATTCACAAGCACATTAATAGAATAGGGTGAGATAATACAAAATATACAAGTGCACTCGTATTGAGGCGATCTAGTTGTTGCTTTATTTATTGTTTACTCAGAAAAGCAAAATAATAGTCTTAATCTTAGGAAGTAAGGTAGAAAACCTTACTTCCTAAGTTATATTTTGAGCACTACCAGTCCTAGAGCGAACCCTGTGCGAGATACCGTGAACGGCATGTCGCATCGCAAAATTGCTTTGCAATTGAAAGCACAGTTTATTGTCAGATATTTGCGGTACGACACGGCGTGGCAGCACAGTGTTACAGTCCTTCATTGGCGTCATCATCCTTTGTCCTGCATTGGCGGTAAAACTGAACAATGTAGGCAAGGTGATGATCAGTGACAATGTATTATTTCAAACTGAGTTTGCGTTATTAAGCTTTCGATATAATCATCACTTAATATATCGATTTACAATTGTAATCGTTTCACAATCCAATATTCAGTGTTGTTCTTATACCTATATGAAAATAATGAAACATATTTTTTTTCATTGGAATACCCTTTTACTCCCTTTCTAAACCCTGTAACCGCTAACACAACATGATTATCGTTGAATCTCTTAATATTCATTCATTCCCACGTTCGTAATTTCAAGGTACAGAAATTAATGAAGTAGGACTTTTTTTGTGAGGGGAAAATCATAAAATGACTTCCCCCCGCTCAGGGCCGGGCGGGAGGGAGTGTCAGACTCTTACTGACTAAAAACCCCCCTGTTCCTTCTCCTGCTCTGGGCCGAGGTCGCGGTGCCTCATTGCGGTTACCCCGCAACCCCGGCTGAAATGAAGTAGGACTTGAAGTCATTAACGTTCATTAATTTGATTCACCTATTATACAGGTAATTTATATATATTATTCCTCAAAAATATGTGTCATATTCCTTTGACTTCGAAATTTTTATTGTGTAGAGCTACTCATGATCAAAATAAATCAAACTATACGTACGTTTTATTATTATTAAATTTTGTCGAGTTTTCAGAAACCGAGACCTAGATTGACATGGAAAAATACATAATAAGTAGTGAAATAATAAACACAGCCCAATATGGCTTTTTTTGAGGGGTAATTCATCAAAATTCTTGTCGCGCCCTGGGCCGGTCGTAAGAGGGAGTGTCAGACTCTTACTGACTAATAATATTTAAAATTAAAACAAACCCTGACAAAAAATCTAATATTCCTTTAAAAAGTAATAATTAAAAAAAGGCGTGGCGTTGGGGGACCGATCCAAACATTTTATTATCAACTACATATTTCTATTTTGTCGGGGGTCTAATTATTTTTTTTTATTTTATATTTTAAATAGATATCATTTTCTCTCGATTTAGTCATCAACATTCCCATTCAGTGCGCTTTCATTTGAGACCCACTCGAGTATATTTGCAGACCTTCGGTTACCCTTCCCCACTTACCCCCCCCCCCCATAACTTCTAAAAGGCTCAACCGATTTTCGTCAAACATGTCTAAGAACACTCGCACGTAAGTCACCTTAAATACAAAAAACTAAATTAAAATCGCTTCACCCGTTCAGGCTCCAGAATGCCACAGACAGACAGACAGACAGACACGTCAAACTTATAACACCCCTCTTTTTGAGTCGGGGGTTAAAACAACAAATAGACAAAAGCCGATGAGAAATTTTTTACCTCCTGTTTATATTACGATTCATGTATAATATAATACTGAAAGATACACATGTCTGTATGTGTATTTTTCAGTATGGAGTTTTAACTACAGGCTCTCGTTTTTATTTTCTTAAATTTTTCAAGGTTTAGGACCTTGAAAAATTTAAGAACTGACAAGAGATTAACAAGGTAATTTTAATAAGACTAAATATATTTAGAATACTAATGACCCGACCCTGCTTCGCCACGGTGTCAGTCATTTGTTTCTCTATCTACAGCACCAAAAGCTATTTTCCGGCATTCCGCTCTACTAAAAATATACATATAAGAGCTTTCTGATATTATCAAACACAACATAAAAATATATCGAAATCAGCCTAGCCATTCACGCGTTATGCCATAACAAAGGAAATTGCGATTCCTTTATAAATGTTGATATAGGGTATACTTTATGCAGAAAAAAAACCAACTGAAACACCCTGTATTTCCAGTAACTATTACTTATTTGAATTCTACGTGTGGCCCAACAACAAAAATATGCCAAGAAAAACCAACTAAAATTTACTTAACCGGAATCTATTTATAATTTTATACTTTCGCATATAAGTTACATTCGCACAAAAAAATATTGTTTACTGGATTAACACAATCGCAATGCCCTACTAAAATAATTCTAGAGTAAGACGTCGATTCCTAAATCAAAAATAATCACGTAATAATTTAATGGGGTTTGTTTTTTCTAAGAAAATATTTTTAAACGAGCGAACGGACGAATCTAATTAACGCCTTAATGACAGTCATAAAGTTACGTGGTTTACTATAAGTAGGCCAATACTGATGCACATGCCTTAGCTCCAACATTTTTGGCCGCACAATCAGGCTCTTTTTGAAAAGATATCGCGAGATCTCTTAACAATGAAGTTTGGTGCGCCACAGTCTCATATAATAAAAACTTTTCGATTAAACATCTGTCCCCGCATTTATCACTATTTTTATCTTTTAAGATTTCGGGTATATTTTCAGTTGGTGGCGGTGGTGGTTTCTGACTTAAGATTTGTTGAATCGTTTCCCATGGTATGTCCGCCCATGGTGATTGAAGAGATGCCGAAGGCCATGTAAGTGACGGCACGGTAGGTGTTGAAGATTCATTAACATAATCAACTGATGCTGCGTCCATAGATTTCCCCATTGATATCGGCGTTACTATTTCTGGCGATGCTGAAGAATCGGCTTTCAGTAATTTATTTTGCGAACTTTGTAAAATCATTTCCTCCTTTACTCTTGTTACTGACTCTTCTAAAGGGCTTTCCATTTTCAGACGCTTTGCATCGATGATTTCAACCGATTGTATATTCATCGCTGATAACAACGAGTCATCGTCACTTTTCCGTTTGATAGTTACTAGATGACGTGACAACTCAGTATGTGATAAATCATCATGTTTATAGGCTTTAGGTAAATCTTGCAATATACTCATTACTGGTGAAATTGGTGAAGCTGCTGTTGGTGATTTTGGTTCAGTTTTCACTTCTATAGTGGTAGAATTAGGATCTGATGTGTATGAAGAGTTTTCGGAAATCATGGCATACAGCAATGGCGGTGGTGGCGGGTGTGGTGGTAGAGGCGGTGGCAAAGGAGGCGGTGGGGCTATTCGAGTTGAAGGTAAAGGTGAACTTGGGAAAGATTCTGTTGGCGATATCGATTCGGTTTTTACTTCTACAGCTTTAAAATTAGGGTCAGATGTGTAAGATGGTGATCTTGGCGATATTAAAGATTGCGGATTTAGTTCAATTTTTATTTCTGTAGCAATAAAATTAGGATCAATTATTTTCAATGATTTTCGGGGTGGAGATAATGGTGGATTTGACGCAGGTGGTAGTGGCGGATATATTGGGGATGTAGTTAAAGGCGATGCTCGCGCCTCAGTCAAAGCTGGTGACTTTGGGGAAGCTGTTGTAGGCGAATTCGGCTCAGATTTAATTTCTACAGATATAAAATTAGGATTCGATGTGGAACTCATTGTTTCAAGAATTGTCAATGATTGTGGTGGTAGAGATGGTGACCTAGGTGATGCTAAACTTTGCGATTTTCGCTCGGTTTTTCCTTCCGTATCAAAGAAACTAGGGTCATATGAATAAGAAGTCGTCAGTGATTGTGGCAACTGAGATGCAGGTGGTAGCTGTGGTGATGGTGACAGAGGTGGTGGAGGAGGTGGTTGTAGAGTTGTAAGTAACTCCCTTATATTAGTTACTTGTAACTTTAGTGAACTTGGCTTTTCAGCGATATCATGGTGCGATGTAAATTCTGATATCATGGTGTTCGTCGTCAATGATTGTGATGACGGCTGTGGTGGTGGATGTGTTGGCGGAAGTGGTGGTGGATGTGTTGGCGGAAGTGGTGGTGGAGGAGGTGGCGGGGCTATTGCTGGTGACGCTAAAAGTGATGCTCTCGCTATACTCATTACTGGTGATCTTGGTGAAATTGCTGTTGGCGATTTGGGTTTGCTTTTTATTTTTTCAGCTGCAAAATCAAGATCTGATATTGTTTTAAGAATTTTTAAAGATTGTGGTGGACATGGTGATTTTGGTGATACTACAGTTTGAGGTTTTAGGTCGCTTGTTACTTTTGTAGCTCTAAAATTAGGGTCGGATGAATATGATGTGTCCTTCAATAATTGTTGTGATAGAGGGTGAGGTGATGTTGAAGGTGAGAGTGACGGAGGTGGTGGTGGTGGCGGAGGCCGTTGCAGAGCAGTAAGAAATTCTCCTAAACTCATGAATGGTGACCATGTTGAACTTATTGAAGGCGATTTCCATTCGGTTTTTGCTTCTATTGCTTCGTTGTTCGATGTAAAAGTAGTTACCAATTTGGATGTCATAGTGTTTTTCGCCAGTGGCAGTGGTGACGTAGCTGGTAGCAGAGATGGTGGCAAAGCTAGTGGCGGGAGTGGTGGCAGAGGTGGCGGTTGAGCTACTGGTGAAGCTACTGTAGGCGAGTTTGGTTGGCTTTTTACTTTTGCAGCTACATATTTAGAATCCGGTGTGTTAGCAATTCTTGAATGAATTGTGAATGATTGTAACGGTGGAGATATTGCCCTTATTGGAGGCAAAGATTGCGATTTTACTTCAGTTTTTGCTTGTGTAGCTATAGAACTAGGTTCGACTGAATAAGAAGTCGTTGTCAATGATTGTAGCGGCAGCAAAGGTGTTTGTGGAAGTACAAGTGGAAAGGGTGGTGATGAAGAACGTTGCATAGTCGTAAGAAATTCTCCTAGACTCGTTACTGTTGACGTTGGTGAACACATTGTAGGCAATTCCGAATTGGTTTTATCACCTAAACCTACAAAATCAGAGCTTGATGTAAAAGAAGTCATAGTTGGGGAAACTTTTTTGTTTACCGTCTGCAATTGTGGAGAAGGTGATGCTAGCAAACCTTTAGGTGACGCCCGCGCTACACTCCTTAATGATGACCTTCCTGAAATGACTGATGGCGGTTTCCGTTCACCCATGTTTTTAGTAAATAAGGAATTTTTCGCCAATGTTTGTGGCGACGGAGGTGGTGACGGAGCTGTAGGTATTTCTCGTGCTACACTCATTCCTGACGACCTGCGTAAACTGATTATTGGTGGTTTGTTATCGAATTTTACTTCTGTAGTTTTAGCTACTAAATCAGTGCCCTTACTCATCTTTCTGGTGATTGCTTGCGGAGGTGTTGGCGGAGGTGATGGTAAAGCTGTAGGTAGTTCTCGCGATAAACTAATCACTGATGATAAATCTACTCTTGGTTGTTTCGATTTGGTTTTTACATCCGTAACAACAAAATTAGAGTCCAATGCATAAGTCATCATGGTTTTCGAAATATGATTTGTTATGAGTGTTTGTGGTAGGACAGGTGGCGGCGGAGATTTAGGTTGCGCTCGCGCAACATTAATTAATGGTGATCTTGGAGCAGGTGTTGATGGTGGTTTTGACACGATTTTTTCATGTTTATTATTTTCTGACTTTGAAGTCATGGCATTTATCGACATCAATAGTGACGACGGATATGATGGCTGGGCCAAAGATGGTGCTCGCACTGAATTCTTTCCTGTTGATTTTGATGACGTTACTGTTGGGGATATCGGTATTGGTCGTAAGTTAGTGTACTTACTGTAATTTGGCTCAAATCTATGCGACAGCGTGGTTTTTGATGTCTTACTAGTAGGAGTTTTGAATGGTAGCGATTGAGGCGGTGATAAAACTGTCATTGGTGCTTCTGGTGGTATTGGTTCATCCCATCTCTTCCGTTTGGCTCCTAACAAAGTTGATAGCGGTGTGTAAGGAGATGCATGTCTTGCGGCTGTGTCCGTGATGCTAGATATATTAACAATCTTTGAATCAAACATTGGAGAAGGCGGTTGAAAGGTATATCGTGGAGGTATTGCACCAACTGTTGTTATTAACCGTTGTTGGTGTGCCGTATTGTTTACTAAAGACCAGTGTGATGGCGCTGGAAGTGAAAGTTGCGATAAATACTGTATTGGCACCTGTTGCAGGTGGTTTGTTGGTTCTGGTGGCGGCCCTGCAGATATCATTTGAAGCAAAGATGTTTCTTGCTCAACGTATTTCCAACCAAATTTATGCATAAGATTTGAAAGCATAGATCTATACCTGGCAGCAAGTTCTGAAGGTACGAGTCCCTGATTCCTGAAGAGATTCTCCTCGTTTCTTGTTATATGTAGGTAACTACAGTATGTCCACTTACACAAATTGTTTAATTTACAAATTTGCACAAAATCACTTAAACGTTCCTTGAACAATTTGTGGCGATATCTACAGTAGGGACCCTGGTCACACCTGCCTGCCACAAAATCTATACATAATTGTTGCATGGGGTAAAATAAATTCATTTTGCTAATTTTGCACCCTAGTTATTGTAACGAGCTTTGACGCTCTGTTGTTTTGTTATATGCACATAAACAGAGTTATTGATTTCAATTAGGTAATGTTGCTATCCTTAACCGGTTAGAATACAACAACAACAACAAAATACTACCTGCTACCGGTCTTACAGAAATATAAACTATAAAACTAAAAAGGTATTTTTGTGTATTCTTAAATATCTAACACATCGTGTAATTTTCAGATATAAAACAAACAGATCTTCGAAAAGATAAACCGTAACCTACAGAACTTGCTATAGATGGAGTTAATTGAAACTTCTACAAACTTTAAAGCAGTTTGGTAGCTGTGAAAAAACAAAAGGTAACATTACGGTGTCCAATGTGTATTTCTTTGTTACAGAGTATGATATCCATTAACTTTGTTAAATTATGAATAATTCAGCATTCTACCAACTTTAGGCAGTCTTAAGAAGAAAGCAGTCTAAAGTTCTAAACGTATACTTAAATATGACTTGTCTTAAAATAGCCTACTGTACATATTATTAAACTCACCCTTATTTAAATTAGAACACACGAACGATGCAAAGAGGTAACCATCGACGTATCGTTCGTCGTTTCGTCGCATCGTATGCACCAAAGACAAGTTTTAAGTTTTTAACTTGTTACGGTTTACGGTAAATAAATATGTCAAGTCATATTACATTTGTCAAATAGAAAATGTCAAAAACATTCACGTAGTTTTCATCACGCCTAAAACAATTTGTTAAAAAATATAGACATCATTATCATCAATCTTGATACGTTTTCATAAATTAGGAGTCCATCAAACTCTGTATCTACTTTTTGTACACAACATCTATTCTAGTCAATCGAAAATGGTTTGTGTGCCTTGCTTTGTCATACCAGTGTTATTGTTTCTTTGGCACAAGTTTATTCAGCCGTATGTTTTACGGTTCTGGAATCCATGGGCTGTGAAAGATGCAGATGGTAATGTAAAAACAGAATTTCCATTCAAATGTGAAGGTGGAGTATGTGCATTTAGCAGAAAGAAAGATGATAAGATAACCAAGGACAATGCTGAAAATCAAAAGGAGCTCAATAACACCACGGACGCACCAAATAGGATCAAAACTGATTAATAGAGAATATGTATTTACCTTAAATTATTAAATACTTCTTAGCTTATAACTATGTGGTTTTGTAACCAGCATGCTATAGCGCATTGTATTTCATTTGGCATTATATTATACTAATAAATAGAGCATTATGATGAGGTAGAGGTGTAAATATATTGTTTTGTTACTGTATTTATAATTCAGCTTTGTTTACATACACTATGTGATATAATTTGTTCTTAAATCTTGTAAAAATAGTAAGGTCTGAAATAAAACAATTCATAGAATTCTTGACTTTTATTTCACAATATTTGATTGAGTAGGTACTTTATGTCATACAACAGTATGTAGAATGCATGCAGATGACAAAGAGTAGTTGGTAGTAGTGACTATGCTACCATAAAACTAGTCAATCATTCTTACTCATACATTAGGTATGTTAGACAGACTGAATTGTGTATAAAATATCTAAAGTCCATACTCTGAATGATTCTCTAGTTTGTGATGAATTTTAAACTCATCTTTACTTCTACATGTACAATCCACACTGGTTTCCTATGGGTAGGTTTTTATGAAAAACTTCTTAGTAAAATAATCTTATTTAATAATAGTCGGAATTAAAAAATGTATCTAGAATCTAGACAGAAATAGGTGTTACACATTTACATCAGCGTGGTTCGTTCTGTTTGTATTTTAATAAAATTTAAATTTATTGCATATTTCAAATCCAGAATACAATACTTAAAGAATTTAGGTAAAAGACAAGACATTTTTCAGAAACCTAACTAGTGTGGAACATTAGTAGTTTACATTCTGCATGTGAATTTAAGGTATCATGTCCAGTGAAATCCTTATGAACTAACTTAAAAGACAACTTACACTGTATACACCAATGTGGTACATCTGCAATATTATTAATTTATCTGATTATATCTTGTACTCAGTGTAACAATAATGTACTTTCAGTTGTAAAAATATTTTGAAATATGAAAAACAAATTGAGTTAATGTATCATAATGTTACACAATATGTTGCACACCTAATTCACATAAAATAATCATATTGCAGATACATCACATTGCAACTGTTTTAACAAACATGCATTCAATGTCAACCTTTCAATAAACATTCAATTAAACCAAATCAACAAGTTCTCCACATTCTGGCACATTCATCAACATTTGACTTATTTCACATTCTTCAGTTCAACTTCAAATACTAAAGTTGAGTTTGGTGGGATGACTGGTGGTGATCCTTTAGCTCCATATCTGCAAAACAAGTTACATGTAAGCAATATATATAACACCTTAAAAATATTATCAAGACATTGCAATGAGTGGTAATACAATAAGAAACATTTTTCATGTATTCCATATACATACAATTATTGATAATTATTTTAAGTCTGTTGCCAAATTATTTGCAAAACAGTATACTTACGCCATGGCCGGTGGGCACACAATCTTCCTCTTGCCTCCAACTTTCATGCCAGCAATACCTACATCCCATCCAGAAATGACCTCCTTGGATCCCAGTCGGAACTTGAAGCCGGGTCCTTTCACACAGTTGTCGAACATCTTGTTGTTTTGTTTAAGGCGACCTTCATAGTAAACCTGGTAACAAATGTAATAATGATAACAACATAATTTATGACATACCAGGTGCTTGACTGGTCCTTAAATTTGCACCTGCTGAGAAACCTGTTTCCTTCAAATTCAATACTAGCTATGCTTTCTTTACTTTGTAGCTTTACAGAAGATCTTTTATCTAGTTGTTATTTTACTTCAATGTACACAAGGTGAAAAAATGAGTCAGGAATGATATCCTAGAGAAGACTGGTACCTACCATGACAACTTTGCCGGCTTTAGCAACAGGTCCAGTTCCAACCTTCAAGTCTTCAATAGAGACACCACCAGCAATTTGCTTCTTTTCTTTCTTCTCTACTGGAGCCTCCTCTTTCTTGGCCTCAGGCTTCTTCTTTTCAGCCTTCTGTTGAGGTTCCTCTTTCTAAAACAGAATTTTATACATTACAAAACAAAATAGATTTGGATAATAGTAAAAATGTATTAAAAAATCAATTATGTTTATGACATAAAAAGTAAAAGTAAATAAATGAATGCATCACCCGATAATAATGTGTTACATCCCTCATACCCATGGGCAAAAGCAGAAAGGCATACATTTAATAAGTAAGAAGTGCACAATAAATAAAATAACAATTACCTTAGGCTTATCAACACCATTGACCTGAGGTTGTTGTTTAGCTTGTTGCTGGAGCTTCTTCTTGAGCCTTCTCTTCTGTGACTTGGACAGTTTGGACATGTCCACAGACTCCTTGCTTGTGTCCAGTGTGGAGTCCTGCTCTGCAGCTGGCTGCTTCTTCTTCTTCTTAGGCGCTTCTTCAGCTTCTTCTTCATCATCGTCGTCCTCATCTTCATCCTCTTCCTCTTCTTCTTCATCATCATCATCCTCTTCATCACTGATAGATGAATAAGCGTATTAATTTTTAGGAAAAAGGCACAAAGTGTAATTATATCTAGATCAACAACAAAACACAAATTGTAATTACCTGTCATCTCCCTCAGCAGATGTGTTCATTTTGAATGATTCATCATTTTCATCAGTGTCAATATCTTCTCCGTCAAGGAACTTTTGAAGCTGGTCTTCATCATCATCATCTGAATCACTTTCAGCTGCTGGTGCGCTATTCTTGCCAGCTTTCTTGTCAGGCTGTTGATGTATTTTTTTTATTAACCCACATATTTTTGTATTAGAGGTCATAACTATAAACTCTTAGCACAACTCGAAACTCATAAGTTACCTAATCAAAAAGTTCAATATTAAAAAATATATAACATACCTTAGCCTTTTTGTTAGCTGTGGCATCATTGGCATTCTCAAGTTTCCTCTTATTTTTAGCTGGCACAAGAGGTGGAGCCTCCTCTTCTTCTTCTTCTTCTTCACCTTCTTCATCCTCCAAGTCCATCTCAAACTCAGGATCAAGGTAGCCAGTCAAATGAACATTGCATTTACCTATGAAAGTGTCAAAAGATTGACTGCTGATTTCACAATCACACAAAATGTTGTAAAAGGTGAAAATTTTATATATTTATTTATTGCAACTTATACGCAAAAATATTGTATTATACAGGCAGACTAAATGACTCAACTCTTACTTACCATTTGTCAAGAATGAAACTGAGTCTCCTGATTTGAAATATAAGTCCAAGGGAACCTGAATAATCTTGCCCTTCTGCAATGTGCACACAAGGAAGTTCTTGCCGTCAACCACTACCATAACTTGGCAGGGATCATTGTCTCCAGTGCTGATGTCCATAGCTGCCTGTGAGATGTGGAACGGCTTCTCCACCACTTGGGTGTACCGTTTGTTCGGTTCCATAATCAGTCCTGCACAACACATTATTCATTTTGAGTACAACATCTCATAACATGTTAAACTTACTATTTCTATGATATTGTACCCTACGTTTTACGCTAATACAACTGTTGCACAACTCAATTCAATTGAAGTTTTTAGTAATAAATATTTGATCCAGTACCTTCTTAGTAACCACCATGTGCTAAGAGATGTATTTATAAAACATGGCATAACCAATGACAAATAATGAATATTATTGTTGTCTTGTTGAGATCACATTTTTTAAGATTGTGTAAGTAATAAGACTACTTAAAAAATAATAGATAGGTAGGTATATAGGTAGTTAGTATTAGCTGGATCTAGAAGTAGGAATAACACATAATGTAGGAAAGAGTAGTAATGCATTCATAAAATGTTCAAACTATACGATTATCATAGCAAATATCAAGAGAGTAAATCCGTAGTTAAATGTTTAAATGCGGTGCCAACACGTGGTGCAATTATAACTGCCGGTTAATTTACTTACCCCAAAACATTTTGACGTTTTATTAGTTGTAGCAAACTACACAACTACAACTAGAATTCGGTTTTAAAATAAAGTTTCAAAGAACACTAGATATTGAAATACTTCTGCCGGTTTCTTTAATTCAAATGTCGATCACAGCATGTGTTCAAACGCGGCAAAATCAAGCACACTCCGTATTTCAATGGAGAACTGAAATGGAGAATTCAACCAGAGACAAAGTTTTGTTAACATATGTTTCCTGGTCGTTGCCCTACTAAAAAATTAATAATTTAATGTCGATTGAATTCTCTTTAAATCTACTAATCAAGCAAATTAGATTATCTCTGATACGTTATATTAAAAGATTTTAATTTATAATGCATACAACATAGGATAAGTAAAAGTTAAATGTTCCATTCACTTTTTTTATGTTGTGAGGTCGACAAACTTGCAGACAGACGTGTTACCAGGATTACCTGTAAACATACCGACTGGTACCTAGTAGTTTAGTGAGTAACTACAAATGGGTGGCTGGCCAATTATTATGAGTTAGAACAGATTTAACAATAAGGGGTTTGAGGATCGGAGATTGAGGATGGGGCCTCTGGTAACCTCACTCATACGGTGAAACACAACGTACAAATACTCCGATTTTCTGCGATTGCTCGTCACGCCACAACACGGTAATCTATTTCTGTCATTAATAAAATTATAATTTGCCTAAAAACGATCTGCTTCTTGTGCAGCACAACACATAACTATGTTTTAAATACTGATTTAGCCATAAACAATATTTTGGTATGTATATATTGTATAGTCTATGATATAGTAATAGCAACCCACTGTGCTACTGTCAAAGTCAAAAGTAATCTTTTCAAGTTCTTTCGTATCTGTCAGTGAAGGTTGCTGCAGTGTTTCAGCCATGGTGAATAATTTATTTTACCCTAAATCCTAAAATATCGTTACAATCATGTGAAAAAGTTCTATCTCAGCCTTCAAATTGCCTTTGTAACTAAGGAACAATTAATAATGAAGCATATTTCTCAAGTAACCTCTCAAAATTGCAGGGTCGTGTCAGGACTAAGACCGTCAAGAAAGCGGCTAAGATTATCATTGAAAAATACTACACCAGACTGACTCTTGACTTCGACACAAACAAGAGGATATGTGAGGAAATCGCCATCATTCCCACGAAGCCCCTGCGTAACAAAATCGCTGGGTATGTATTACTATCCGCTCAATATTTTTTTGATTAATAACTTTGTTTGTTATTTATAATAGATAATTACACTTTCAAATCATATCTTCTGAAAACTTAGGTACTACGTATATATAAAAAAAAATATCGTATTCAGCAGTACATAAAAAACTACATAATACAAATAGTTGAAAATTTTATGTACATTACGTTTCCAGTTTCTAGAATTTAAATTGACGTACGTAGTACTAATCTTTTATATAAAATAACACAAAACTCCACACCATGCTTGAACATAAACAAACTCCTTAAACAACAGTTGCCCCTGTTTTTATATTTGAAGAATTATCTAGTAAAAGGTAACCGGTTTAGTTAGTGGGTAGGTAATCAAAATGTGTGTTGAATTAATCATCGTAATATACAAGCAGCAGTTTGTAATTATTCACCTTATTATGATTAACAACATGACTGCCTTCTATTTATGTCAGGTTAAGGCAGTGGTTTAGGATGATAGTGAAGTTCAGAACTATAAATATTATTTTTCATTTCAGGTTTGCTACCCATTTGATGAGGCGTCTCAGGCACTCCCAGGTCAGAGGAATCTCCATCAAACTGCAAGAGGAGGAGCGTGAGAGGCGTGACAACTATGTGCCCGAGGTCTCCGCCTTGGAGCATGACATCATTGAAGTTGACCCAGACACCAAGGACATGTTGAAGATGCTCGACTTCAATAACATCAACGGTCTGCAACTGACGCAGCCAGCCACACAAGGCGGCTATGGTGGCAGACGTAATTAAGGATAATAAATAATTAATATCTATTTGTTTCTTTTATTTCACCACAACTGTATTTACATGAGGTCGGTACCTATCTCGGCTGTTGTTTGTTATGAAAGGACAGGCGTAAAAGTACATGTATCACCAGCACAAAAGTATATAATATGCCTAGGTGCCTACTTAACGCTATGTTGTATTAGGTACATCTTTTACTATGACCGGCTTTTGTTGGGCTTTTTACCTAAACTTTTCACAATCGCAAACGAGAACACCAAACATGGCTGGAGCGAAGCAAAGACTTGGACTTATTAATTATTTCATATCAAATTCATAAGAATTCAACAAGATTTATGACAATAATCAAAAATGCTTGATTTACATTAAATCTTGTCGTACCTATTAGAATTGAGATACAAAATCCTTACGAATGTAGGGTATCCGGCCTTTTTAGTCAAATGTCCGGCTAAACGGGCTGGTCTGTCCGGCTATAAGGCCTAGCGACCTGGCAACCCTACCCGCAACCCCGGCTGGTTTTACGGTACCTAACGTACCTACAACTACAAGGTGTAATGTCAGTGACCCCTAAATTTAGCCATAGATAATGACGTGTATAATTCTGACCCCGAATACTTCGCAAGATGAACAACATCAAACTACCCTAGACTTATTATAAACACTAGAACCGGTAAATCGCAGGCGGGCTCTGTCTAAATAATTATATTCGATGCATTTTCATAGAAAATTCAAGGTCAGTAAACGAACACGCTGCCTCGTTCAAAAGCTTTATAGAACACTCATTGTTAGCAAGCTCAGACAAATTAATTAGGTAGTGTATGATTAAAGAAAATGCTTGGAAGTGGCACCAACTACAAAAAAGTTTGAAGCGCTATCGTTTCTATGAAATTTGTTCTAAGAATTTATAAAAATCGGGTGCCGAAGTTATTATGATTCCCAAACGTACATAAACAATGTACGTTTGGGAGGCAAAAAGTACTAAAAAAAGAAAGTGTGTGTAACTTACACAATACCTTTTTAATTACCATACGAGACGTGCAAGAAGTGCAACATTTAAAACAGCCTTAGCTTTGGGGACCAATGCTGGGGTATGGTCTTTCTCTTGTCTCTTCAAACAAAAGTAAAGTTTTGTTTTATAAAAGCCGCGCTTGGCAAGTAAATTAGAAAAAATAATTAATAAAATTTTTTCTTTGTTCCATTATGTTTTTCTTGCTTCATTTAAAAACTTGGTCTGTAGTAAGTCTTAACTTTGTGTTAATCCAAAACTACGCAGGAGGTGGAAAGGAAAGATGATGTCACGAAGTTTAAACAATATTTGTTAAGCGTTTGTTTCCTTCACAGCTGTATTTTTATTAAGTTTGTTATTTATTTGAATTTTAGCTCAAAAAGAAATCAATATTAAAATAGCAAAAAAAAACTTATACTATTTGTGAACGTATCCGAATGAAAAGTAATTGTTGTGTTTTTCAGATGCGTCTCCCTTCTCGCTCCCACTCATGGAATAGGCAAATCAAAATGAAGGAAGTTATTATGTCGCTCTCGTTCATTCCTTCATTTTAGGCTTGCTTGCTTCTTGCTTGCTACGAGGAGTAAATTGAGCTTGAGGCGCAGCGCTGCGATAAAATCAATTTTATTTAATTTTCTATGAATTAAATTTATGTGTTACTATTTCGATTCCATCGTATTATGAAGAATGGAATGTACACATTTATTAGATAACGTCAAGGCAGATAATTTCAACATTGAGGATACGACGATCACAAAGAACTTCAATTGTTCAGGTAAATAGATTATTTTCTTATAGGAAAAACGATCTAGACAGTTTATTATAATGCGTATATGTGAAAAGTTGCCGCATTGTACTCAAACGGGAGGTTAGCATAGAAAAATCAATACAACGAACTTTAATAATCAGCTGTTCGAGGGGAACGGGAGGGGTGCGGTATGGGTGACCGTGACTGACGATGTCGCATTTCTGACGCGATGGTTAAAATAATGTTAACTACATCATGCCACTAGTCTATTTTCGACTAGAAACAAGCCGACCACCATGGCGGCGTATATGATTATGATAATAATGCTTTCGACCCGCTGCGGTTATCTTATACCAAGCGAATAAGATTCGTCGAACATTATGACCCATAAAAACAAACTCCTCAATTTACAGTATCTTCAACTGGTTTACATTATAAATACTTAGACTTTACAAATGTATGCTACAGAGGCGATGTTCGGTTTCACCGCATTGCTATCTAAATAACTTTAATATCCTACTGGCATACATGTGAGCAAAATAAACACACACAATAACACTATTATCAGATTGTTTTGCAGACTTATTGAATGAGTGACTAAAGTAACACTAGATTAGATTTGGTTTGGACTACTTTTGTCCATCTATGTCCAGTTGGAAAAGTACTTATGAAGGCAATAAGTATTAATAATCTGAATATGGTGAATTTAAGTAAAGAACATGTAGTAAGTTGTTTTCTTTATCTTTTGTTTTAAGAATGTGCTGCCGAAGGACAAAATTGGTTATGCCTGCATTGTGGAGCAGTCAACTGTGGCCGCTATGTCAATGGCCATGCAAAACTTCATGCAGAGACATTAGACCACCAGCTCTGTATGAGCTGTGATGTCTATTCAGTTTACTGGTAAAAGAAAAACCTTATTATTATCCTTCTTTGATATCTAGCCATCTAATCTTAGTTCATAGTACAAATATTTTTATTATTCTTTCAGTTACAAATGTGATGACTATGTATCAAATGATTTGGAATACAACCCGATAGATAAAATAAGACAAAGTATTATGCAACTTAGAAGGCAACATGATGTAGAAACAAATGGTAATATGGAACAGAATGAGGATAACAGCAAAGATGGAAGTGAAGGTGGCAACAGTATGATGTCTAGTACATCTGTATCTGACAAGCCAACATCCCCCAGCGGGAGTGGGGATGATTCCAGGGCTGCAGAAGTTATAACTGCAGTCTCCTTTGGTGATGTACCTAATCTCCCAGAGACAAGTGAAAGTAAACCTGCTAAAAGTATTAAGGTAAACAATTTTTGTTTTTTCATTGGCATATTACAAAGTTGATTCAAATATTATAAGATTTTGTCAGATGGATGGATGTTTTTCAGAACACACCTGAATGAAATTTGATGCAGGGTTATTATGAAATAAAACTTACTAAGTACCTATACTTTTTTCCATTCATCCAAAAGCTATTCTGACATTGTATTTGCTAGTACTAGTGCATATCAAATTGTGTTTTTATCATACCAAATTCACGTGGCAAAGGCAGGTTCCTGATGTTTTGAGTGTGATAGTAATGCAACCTCTAATTGTGTTTTTGAAATACAAACCTATGCTCCTCTTAAAGACCATTCAATGTAATTATTTATTTATTAGCACGTTAACCGCCATGGGGGTCACAGTCCGACCTCCGACAGACCTCCATTAGCGGAGGATTTGCTTTCCTTCGACAGTTTTATGTCGGCAGTCAAAGGCTTAACTATGTATTTCATGTTTTGATGATGGTGTGATCCCAGTGACAAACATACTAACATACAACTATACTTTTCAGAATTCTGAAGAGCCAGTGCGTAGTCTAAGGCCACGTTCTCGCAAAAGAACTCACTCTGACGACAGCAGCTCCACAGAGAACAGTACTACGCAAACACCTAGAAATAAGGAAAAGAAATCGTCACCATGCAATGGAAAGAGTCAAAGAGAGAAGAAAGTTGTAGGATTAAAAAATTTAGGCAATACTTGTTTTATGAATGCTGTATTACAGAGTCTAAACAATATACAGGAGTTCAGTTGCTATTTTAGTCAGTTGCCGTCTTTAGAGATGAAGACGAATGGCCGCAAAGTGTATCACTCTAGGAGTTATACACGCCAGGAGATGCATGATGTCGTCATGGCCGAAGAACTTAGGAAGGTAATAGATCTGGCAACAAATTGTGTGCCATACAAACAGTTTCGTTAACAACCTAGGCAATCAGATGATTCATTGAGCAAAGTTGAGAATAATATTCCGACGAATGGTAATACACTTACTCACATTAAATGTAAATGGTTTACATCTTCAATATTTGTTGCACACTGATAAAATATGATGTGATGACATATTGAGAATACTTGCAAATAACCATGTACAGAACTCAACAGCTTGTGAGAGCTCACTGCTAAAGCGTATAATGTAAGTACAAGTTTGTAAAATTATATCATATGTTTGTGTATTTTCAGGTGTTAATAAATTTGAACAGTGGATGTGGATCCAAGGGTGCAATCTCCCCGGAGTGCCTGTTCCTTGTGATCTGGAAGGTAGTGCCCAGGTTTAGGGGATATCAACAGCAGGATGCGCACGAGTTTCTACGGTACATGCTAGACAGGTGAGAACAATGTTAGTGATATATAGTAAAATAAAACATTAAATCCAAGGGAAATGGTATTCACATATTGTATAGTAATATGTATTTATTCACTTCTAGTTGAGAAAACAAATATTATTGTTTGAATTGAATCATAATAAGTATTACAATTCCAATCGACACCACACACAATTACATTTAATAACTGTTAATATAAATTTGACGTATTTGTCTGTGTGAGAAGAGGCATTTGCCAAGCAATGGGACGTTTATAGAGCGATGTTAATTTTTTGTCTGGCTGTGTGTAAATAAATGCAATGTGATTGTGTCAGACTACACACGGAGTTACAACAGTTGCTACCGGAGCGCGCGGAGGCGGGGTTCGTGCCGCGTTCGCCCGCCGCCTCCATCGTCACCGCGGTCTTCGGCGGCACGCTACAGAGCGAAGTACGATTTATTTTATTTTTTTCTTTTTAGTATATTTTTTACTGGCTTCTATTAGCGTATTGAAAACGTGTTTGTGGGATAAATAGTCAGGACATTCAAACATGCAAACTACAATCAATATTTTTTAAGTACCAAACTAAAAACTTAATATTCATCATATTTGTTTTTTTCCATTTATAAACATTATGGTTTGCTAAAACTTGAATCGCTCAAAATATTTTATTTTTCAATGTATGAATTTTTTACCAATTTGTGTTCTCATTGCCGTTACCTAAGAGTTTCTCATAACCAATACGAGATTCTCATAACCATAGCTAGTTTCTCATTTGTATTTTTTTGTTATAGGTACGTTGTTTGGCGTGTGGCACGGAGAGCAAAAAGTTTGATCCCTTCTTAGACCTTTCTTTAGAACTACCGGATACTGGACGGCACGACGCTCCCGTCGCGTTAGCTGACTGTCTGTCGAGCTTCGTACAGGTACATATTTGTTTTGTTTAAACATTATAATTGTGTGCCCATTATTTCTCCAATTAGGATTTAGTGGCCTAAATTGAAAAAAATATACCAATAGGTATTGTCAATTTGTCATTGTGCTGGGCAGAATCCGATAGTTTCCAAGTAGTCAAATACAATATTTTTATTGAAATTTCAAAACAATACTTTTTTTTGTATTTAATATGATGTCCTAACACAAACGACGTTAAAACATTCAAAAACATTATTCTGAAAATTTAAAAAAATCTCAAGTTTGTTTTATTTTATTTCTAGTTTTATTTTATCTTTGTTTTTAGGTGTAGTTTACAAATGAAAAAAAAAAACACAAGAACTACCCAGTTCTGCATTTCTTTCTACCCAGTTCTGCAATTTTGAAAATGGAAAAGCTAATATTTCCTAATTCGACATGCAACACGTAATTTTATCATACATTTAGTGGTTTTATTGCCAAGTTAAATATTTTATGTTAATTGTTATAATGAATGTTGCAGGTAGAGGAATTAGCAGACACGGAACGTTACTTCTGTAGCAGTTGTAAGAGTAAACAAAAGTCAACCAAACAGTTCTGGATACGCCGGCTACCCAATGTGCTATGTTTACACCTCAAGAGATTCCGATGGCACAACTATTTTAGGTACTTATGTAGTATATTATGTTATCATATTTTTTCCCATCATTCACATATTCACATTTACATATAACCGTGTACTACTAGTTTTTTATTTCGGAATTTTGAAAAATACCTGTCTCTAGTCTGACATAAATTGAAAAAAAAAAGAAGACATCTTGCTTTTCCTCGTGAATTATAGAGGACTAACAATTATGATATACAGAATACACATAAATTCACCCCTGTTGTCAATGGGGGTTGACACAACGATAATATATGTTATTGTGTATACTGTATTAGTTAATAATTGGTGCATTAACAATAATACAATTTTACACACGCATTACGCCCACACCGGAGACAAAAATTAGTGAACATTTTCTTGCGGGAATCGAACCCTCTATCTAGACATCGTACCTCAGCTAGTTACCTAGCAGCCAGTGGCCCAGCAACTGCGCTAACCATACAGTACATTAATAAATTTGTAATTTATGAGCGACTGAAAAGTACAAATTTTATATACAGGGTGTAAAAAGACACTTAACGAAGCCGTTAACTACGCATACTGCAGTTCTAACTAAGTAGCGTTACGCTAAAATTATCACTGGGAAACGACTTTTATTTTTAGGTATCAAAAAAATTATAATTTTATTGCGCGCAATGTAAAGCAAACGGGCTTCGTGCCATTGTGTGCGTAGGTTCACTTCGGTAGGTTTTACTTCGCAACAACAAAACAATTTTGTAAAATAAAAATCCTACTGAGATGCACGATGTTTTTTGTGCGGGTCTGCATTTATTTACAATACAATACTTAGAATTCGATTGCGCAAAAAAAATAATTAAAAATGCGTCTTTGACCTTCAATATCTCGAGAACCCGTGGAGTCCCAGCTATGGTGTTAAAGAAAAAAAAGATACAAATAATGGGTAGAATACGTGGCTTTCGGCATCGTTAAGTGTCTTTTTACACCCTGTATTAAGTCATTGACTGTACTACTACACAGCACATGTTCCCCATGGCGTTCAATGAGTTAATGAATATGCTTTCTGTTTCAGGACCAAGGTGGACACGAGCATTACATTCCCGCTGCGCGCGCTGGACATGTCCCGCTTCGTGCTGTCCAACGTGCCCGACACTCGTCGCTCCGGTCTCGGGAACAATCTCTACGATCTCGCCGCAGTCATCGTGCACCATGGCTCTGGGTAATTATTACGCTTATTCTTCTACTTTGATTCTGCTGCTCAAGATGTTTTTTTTTTTGAAATAATAGCCAACGGACTTCGTAAAATAAAAGCTAGCAAAAATCCCGAAAATGAAAGAAAATTTACCCAACACCTATGGTGGCCTATCCTCCACCCATAAAAATGTATAAAAACCCCATATTAATTACATATAGTATATAGAGCAAAACCCCTACCATTTACCTATAGATATTGTTAATTTACTGCATTGTTTGTATTGCAAATATTTCTGTGTACAACCTACAGAGCTGGTTCGGGTCACTACACTGCGTTCGCCATCAACGAGGAGCAATGGTTTCACTTCAACGACCAGACGGTGCGGGCGGCGGACGCGGCGGCGGTGGCGGGCTGCAAGCCCTACATCCTGTTCTACATCCGCCGCGAGCTCGCGCTGCCCGCCCTGCCCACCACGTGACCTCGCTCGACACCACTGCCTCACATACTCAACTACACTGAAACGAATTTTACTAATCACCAATATGATGCTTAGAAGACGAATCCAAATGTCAATGTTTTCTCTCAAAAATCGTTTCCATTGATCGCAACACTAGTCTAGTTAACACATTCAGTGCCCCCGACGCGTATGTGCGTGCGAGGAAACGCACATACGCGTCGGGGGCACTGAATGTGTTAAACGAAAATTGTATACTTTAGTAAAAGCGCGCAAAACCTTTTTAAAAGAAAAATTTTGACGTTGCTATTTTCCGTGGTCGATAATGATACCTTCCATAAAAAAATCTTTTCTGAAAGGACTTCGTTTGTACAATAAGAACAAAATGTTAACTGTAGATAAGCACCGTTGGTGATTGCTGATTTTCGCTTCATTGGAGTTATCGTCTATGATACAAGGTCACATGCGTCGTCTTATACTTTGTAGATGAGGGCTTCACAACGCAAAATATTACGATCAGATACTTAAAAGAAGATAGTGAAACGTGAAGATCTAGTAAGTAGTCTAATTGTTCCCACAGTATAGTATACCAAATGCATATCTACGTGTGACAGAAGCCCTTGTAATCGTCGCCTTGAATCAAAACTTTACTAAATAGTTATTTTACCTTTCTCGCCTCCAAGCAAGCCCACACGAGGAATATAGGCCTTATTGTAGCTGTAACTAGGTCAATACAACAAACAATGGAGTTTATTTATTCATCTGTTAGATGCATACCGTGTTAAGATATAAAATTGTGTGATAGTGTATTGCAGTGATTTGAACATTTCATATTTGAGTATTTTGAAATTTAATCATGTATTTATATATTTACCTATGATTATTTAACTAATTGAATTTGAAATTTTACCCAATACATTTAAAGTCTATATTACGGCGGCATTCCTGTAGTTTGATTGAGCAGGTCTCAGTAATTTTGTACGTTTGCTATTATTTACATATTATGAAATAATTATAAGCCTCGTTGAATGAAAATGGTCGCGCCTTGCGTATAGTCAAAACATTATTATCATGATATCACCTATGTTGGATAACAAATAAATGTGATACGCTCGATTCGACCTTTTTCATTTCGGCCATACTTTTTCTAATATTTCATCAACTTTTGAATATATACATGGTAATATGCCGCATAAAATTTACAAGAAACACTATACGTTGGTTCTAATAGTGTTTCACATTCTGCTGAACAGTTGCATCGATACTAGCTAACATGGTCCTATCCGATGTTGGGATGATAGTAGTTTCGATGTAACGACGTATTTTGTAGCACTTTCCTATAGTCGATAAATATTACGTTATAGATATATAAATAAATACTCATACAAATAAAATAGTTTATGCATTTGTTGATGAAAATAGATATTTGAGCTTGACATACGAGATGTGTTAAGGCTATAAAGAAACGTATGTATTTTGTATAAAAGCGTGATCATGTATTTTACTGCTGAAGTTAGGACGGTACTGGTGGATGCCATACTTAAAATGCATTTCACATTATGATTAGTTTAAAACTGGAATTTTGTTTAATTAAGATTCTGTTTGCAGTACTATTTGTATGATACTTTACATTCCTCATTGCACATTCACTCCATCTGCAGTCAATATCATGAAACCCACTGAAAACACTACTTAACACAACCAATTTTCCTGTGGTTTTTGATTGTAGATAGGGTGGGTGTGAAGTCCCTAATGGATTGTGAGATTTATAATTATGACGTTCTATTTTAATAAAGCGTAAAGTGTTTTTTAAGTAACTGAAAGCCCCAGTGTACTTTGAGAAAAGAAGGTATAAAACTGCAGTGGAATTGTTAGTTCTAGTTTTGTTCTGGTAATTGAAATCTAGATTTTAACAACAAGACGCAAATATGATGTAACTATTTAATTTTTTAACACTATTATCAAACAATCAGAACCCAGAATTCCGATGCTGTTAACTGGAAATCATCAAGATAATTTAGTATTGGGAATAGTTTTGCAGGACTAATTTTCTCTAATAATATCGAATGCACTTGGGCTGACGGTTTAATTATTGCAGGATAACATATTATCTGAGTTTAATTGTACCATTTATAGAAAATACTGAAACTTTGTACGCTATTAAAATAGGAAATGATGCATTACGAGACTAGATGATCGTTTTGTGTGTAAAACATTGTGATAGTATAACGTGCTCTGTCCGTGCGAGTGTGCGTACAGACACAGCTGAATTATTTTTGTGTCGTGAACTCTCTTTTGCAAGTACCTTTAATAGCAGGTTTATTTTGTGTAAGTACTTCAATTACTGGAAGTTGATAGTGATTGAATTTAATAAATTCGCCAATTAAAAACGTTGTTTTATTTTTTTGATTTTATTTGACAACAATTTATTATCCTTTTGAAAGCTCGTCTAAACCATGTTTTGCGATTTGTTTTAATTTCATTTATCGACATTTGGATTGTAAGACGGCTGTCAGCTATGCTTGCGTATTCGTCCCATTTGGACGGCTGTAGAAATGGTGTGTTATTTTTCATCCACATTTGATCGGGATCGTTTACATCACATTGCATTGTACCTGTTATGTAATTATAAGAAGCAGTTTCTTTCTCTTCTTGTTCTTCACGTTCCCAAACGTCAGGATCAATTTTTATGTTGTTCTCTTCAGTAGCATCTATTGGCCCGTGAACACGCAAATGTGGTGTGCAAGGACTTAGACACATCACCTGATGAGTTACTTTAATATTATGATCCATTGTAATATCAGGATCAACTTGTGCTTGTTCCGATTTCATGTCGTGGTCACCGCGGTCTAACGTATGGCTTTTAATCTCGAGTGGGAGACGTTTTGATGGGCTGCTCGGACTTTTGTCGTCAACTTTAGACTTTAAAACGAAATCTGCGCCATTCGGTGTCCCTAAAGATCTTTTTTCCGGTGTTTTCTCGTTAACACTAACGTGCACGTCGACGTCAACTTTTAATCTGAATGGATTTTCTTGAATGTTATTGTCTTCTTGGATTGAATTTCTTGTTCTGAACTCCTGTGTTTTACTTGCTAATGTTTCTTCATTTCTGTAAGTTTCTAATTTTAAAACGCTTCCTTCCCACTTGTCTCCTTGTTCTTTCGACCTTCGTCTTTTTTCTCTTGGTGATAATGCCATCCAATTTACGACGTTGGTTGATTTTTCAGGTTTTTGCGCGCTTTCAACTTTTTCTGTTTCATTTTTGAACCAACCGTTTGTTGGCTTTTGAAAAATATTTTTGGGAGATTTATATGGCGGATTCGGTGACGCGGACATTTGCTTGTTCGGTTCGGATACTTCGGTAACGGTAGACAATGTTGGGCCGAAAGATAAATTAAGTCTGGGTATATAAGCTGGAGGTATCGGTGATCCTAAGCGACTACCACTTGTACTTCTGTCCTTAGTTCTTTCTTCTTCGCTATTTTCTGTTGAACATGAAGTTGTAGAAGTAGAAATATCCCTAACAGCCGTCTTACCACAGTCATAATCATCTTCTGAAAGGAGGTGCCTATTTTTGAATGAGTAAATCCATATAGTACGTGCTTCTTTGTCTAAATCAGGATCGTACGTTATGATCTCCTCCTTGTAATGATGTTTCCCTGAATCCCAATGGTTTTCTTCCATTAACATATCGCCAGATGTAATTATCTCAAGGTCCGCATCTGACGAAGAGTCAGACTGAATGAAATGTTTGTTTGTTAATGTGAAACAATTTACTTGATGATTGATTAGATGATTGTCATCAATGTAATGGTTTTCTATATCTGAATCGTAACTGTTATTTGTATATTGACCTCGCGTGTTTGTAGCGCTTGCATTAAAGAAACTACGGTCATGTTGCATGCGTCGCCTTTCCCTTGCTTTTTGGTTGATTTTGTAGTTTTCTTCTACATGTTGCAGTGTTTCAGTTTTAGTATAGCTCCAGGCATGATCCTTGCGATCGTTCGTGTTTTGAACTCGAGCCGAATCAAATTCATCCGAAGTGTTAAGTTCCGTAATCTCGACGCCTGTTGGCTGATCTTGCAGCCATATTTGTCCAACAAGAATTTCGGGGCCGACGGCTGCATTTAGTTGACTAATTTTATGATTCAAGTCTGAAAATAGATACATTTTTCTAAGTCAGACAAAAACATCACTAATACCTACCAAGCGACGCGACGTAAGTACAATAGATCAGGCAAAGTTGTTTCATTAAATAAAAAAATTCAACTTACTATTATTAAATATTTGATTCCGATTTACTTTTTTACACATCTGTATTCTTTTCATAATTAGCAGATAATTATTTACTCGTATTACAGCTATCGTGTAAATCAAAGCCGCTATGATTATTTTTGACATTCAGTTTGCCAAACGGTCTGATCGTTTTTCTTTTAAATCGCAAATAAAGGTTTTAATCTACTTCGATCAACCGACATGCTTACTCGATTCATGTAGATATCTGTTATCTGTTTATTTTCAGAGAATATCAAATCATTTATTAACTCGCAATTATTATTCTTAATGTTATGACATAACATTCATAATGTTAAGCCGTCTATCCTTACCTGCATACTTTGTAACATTTAACTAAATCGTGGCAGTTCGAGACTAAATAGAAGAACAATAGCTGTGCGACACCCGGCGTTCACTTGGGGGTTAGAGTCATTCGGGTCAAGAAGACACAGTTTACCTTTCTCAATTAGGTACTTACATCAAAATAAAAATAATAGATTTATAAGGATGTGGTATTGACATTTAGGTAGGGCAATTATTGCTACATGCTACAGGTTGCATACTGGCTCTGTGCATGGTTTTCTTAGAATAACTAAATAATGACCCTCGGTCAGAATGCGATCACTTGACCCGTAATGCGGGTAACAGTACCTACCTACGCAGTTGTGCGGGCAAAAGTTCGCATATGCGGTTAGTAAAGGCAATAAGATAATTTGTGGGAAATTAATTAAAACAAAACAAATACTTAATCAAAGATATACTTATTTTAATAAACCTATTAAACATCCTTCCCTTCTTCTGTAAGTACCAAGCTTTTGACTCTTCCCAGCTACCTATAAGAGCTTTGGCTTCAGTGATTTGTTTCTCTTAATTCAAGTTGTTTTCTGATGTAATTTTGGGGCATTTATCTGAAACTTATAACTAAAAATAGCAGTACCTAAATATGTATCAAGCGGTGATATAACAGCACAACACATTTTGTGACCCAAAAAAACCCATAGGTACCTACTATAGGGTTAAGAGATCATATGCCTTCTCCTGACCCCGTTCTCTTACGACCAAACACACCGAGTTCCCAAAAATAACCTGAAATTGTCACTCAATAAGGATATGTTAATCATGATCTTACAAAACTAAATAGTACTTTGGTACAACGATTATCTTGTGTTTATGGAAGATATACACTTTTCCTTAGCACAATAAACTAAGTTTGAACCAGTGAAATTAACATTCTTTAGATTTTTTTCTTTAGTAACATCGTGCAGCTACAAACAGCTTGGCTTCAAGATGTCCGTTCGCTAGCCTAGCTTTCGTCATACATGTGTCCCTAGTCCGTTCATTCCCTGCGGATATTTTAGCATTGCGATCTCTTACCCGATGCGTGCTGTTACCCCGAATGACTCTAATGTAGGTAATGTACTTATTTAAATTAATGTAGATACTTAAATTTAATTAGTAATATACTTAAATTTCTTTCTGTAAATTTCTAACGATTTAAGTAGCTGCAACGATGGAAACTAGGTAGGTATACTTACATCATCATGAGAGAAAGTGGATGATTTCTTTGATCTTCATCATCGAGCTACTAAGCACCCTTAATCTGGTTGAAGTCCCAAGTCGAGCAAAGTAGATATAGAACCCATAGATTTATTTTAGAATTCAAATTCAAATTCAAATTCTTTATTATATATTAGATAGATATTGAATTATCTTGGTGATATGATTTGCCATGTCTTAAGTATCAGGGCTGTAGGCAGGGCGCGCTATATCTACCACACTCAGTTATGACCTTTTGTTTCATCAAACAAAATAAAAATACAAAAATAATTTCACCTGATAAACAAAGTTATTGTATAGTGCAAAAATCCAGGAAAGCAATTTAGTTGAAGCTAAAAGCCCTGTCTTACGTGTGGCGGCTGGCGGGTAGTGGCACTGTTGGCGAAACAAAGTGTAAATGGATTGATTGCGCCAATTCCCGGCTACAAAGGGAGACGAAATTGCATTAAAAGCTCCGTGGCGCAGGCCATTTGCCAAAGCACTTACTCCATTAGGAGCGTCCAAATAACGTTACCTTAGTGCGGTGTTAGGAAATGTAGGCGTCACGGAGGGTTGAAACGTACACTACACTTGTTTATGATTTAATATTGGGAGAAACGTGTTTGTATTGTACTTAAAAAGAACTTGAATGAGTAATAAATATGCTTGGTAATTTTTTATTGGGCGATTAATACGTATCCACCTGCTTAAGTAGGCGGTTATCAAATCTTTCCAGTAGCTATATGTACCTAAGTATTTCTAATCTAAATTGGGTAGTTTTTTAAACATTCTTTGAAAATATCTGAAATAAAATCGTATTTATGATACATTCAAATCCTAAAGAGTTTAGTTCCAAACAATAAATATAAGAAGTAAAATGAGCATCCCCTTCAGTCGTCCGTCCGGTGCGGGTAGCGGGTGTGAGAAACGCGCGAGTTTCACGCCCCGTACGCGCGACAAAGGTTAATTAATTAGATTACGCTGCGCTTGAGTGGCCGGGCACTCATTGCACAACGCTAATTCGCAAATTAGCCGCCGACAAAGCGGGCTTTTATTCGCTCCATTACGGCCGTGACGTGTTTCATCTCTATATTTCACTTAATTTCCAGTTGATTCGGATTATTGGACAGATATTGTTAATGATCTATCGCACCTGATTAGCGACTGCGATTTAATTAATCCTGTGTAACTGGATGCATTGACAAATATGTCCATATTCATGTAGGTACCATCAATACAGTTATTAAGCACTTATGTGCTATGTTAGGTAAATACAAATTCGTCTAAGTACCTACCCAAGCAGTAACTTATTTTTGTAATTGCGTTGTAAACCGCCATTCAATCTCTTATCTGTTGATGTCAAAATTACGCTCCAAATAGATTGCTTGTTTCCGCCTTTGTTTTAAAACAACAAAAGAATCTTGTGAATAAATTAAATAATATAACACAGATAAAACACGTTTGCCGCGGAAGCAGAAATGTTTGACAAACCATCCATTAGCGGTCCCTGAGAAGTAAAGACCGATACAAGATGGCGGCTGCCCGTAACATATAATTAGAATTTATTTTTGTCTATCAAAATATTTTAATTGGTTTTAGAGTTGGAAAATACTGTAGTATATGATTATCGCGCTACAAAGCTGTATATTTGCTTAATGGAAGAGTGTTCGAGATAAAAGCTTGCGCTATCGAGGTCGGATCTGAGCGGTAATTAGAGGGGCCGGCCGCCTGCGCCTGCGCCGACGACTCTTCCTTACATGCCACTTAAAGCTACACCGCCTTCTAGGTATACGACATTATCTTATTATGTACTGTAATTCTAGAAATGTAGCAACATGACTGACAACTTTTACTTTGTGTTTTATACCAGATGATGCAGGATACAGTTACCTTCGTACCTAAGTTACTCACTAGCGATAGTTCCCTTGCAAACCAAATGTTGTTACCTATTTCGTAAAATGACTACTATTCGGTACCTACATACGTGGTTTATTTGCTGGTACCGAATACTTAGTAGTAATTTTACGAAATAGGACTTTTCTAGTGTTACTACTGGGTTGGATAATATTATCTATGAACATACTTTTTGTAGGTAAACACTTAAGAGTACCAAGGTTTAGAATTCCTATTTAGAACTCAATACTCAATACTCAATATCTTTATTGCTTTTCCATAAGTACATTTAAAGGTGGTAACAATTTGTGTGAGATCAATTATGGACCCTGTAGGGCACAGCAAAATAAGGCAAACAGGAGAGAGGAAGCTCTCGAAAACTCGTTGAGTTTTTACCAAGGAGACAAAACTTTGATTTGAAATACGTACACAGTTTATCTTACATCTAACAAACAGAAGGAAACTATTCAACAAAAAAAAAGTAAAAGAAAATTTTGCACATTTCAGCTTTAACGCTGCAGTACCTACCGAAATAACAAGGTTCTAAAAAAAAGTAATATGTAAAATAAAGTGCTCATTCTTCCCTAATCTTAGTACATGATCTGTTGCTTTTAGTGAAATTGCCCCATAAATATTCAGGAAGAAGGCGAAAAAACTTAATAATACAGTATTGGATGACGTTAATTGCAAATTACATGTGCATTAATGTTCGGTACATGTGGCGCGAATGTTTTAACGGTCAAAGTTCGCCTGCATTCTACTTAAGTGTCACTTATCATGGGAATCATGGTGGCAGGAACCATGACTTGGAATTTTTCCAAGGAATTCTAGTTGGTATCAAACTTCTGCATACATTAATTTTTGTGAGAAATTTATGCTTAGGAACCGGTAAGGTTTTAAAAAATGAAATTGAGTTTGATGCCTTATGATAATGAGTAAACTGTTAAATGAGCACTGACCTAGATGAGGTAATATGTACCTACATACCTATACCTTGCTCTTTTAGATTGCGATTGTTTTACACGTCCCATTCCAGTCAAATCCTGAAATCGCCAATCCTCTCTCTCTATCTCTCTCCTCTATCTCTCTCTATCTCTATCTCTCTCCTCTCTCTCTACTCTCTCGCAATAAGTATACCAGGCTAGATCACTAATATAGCCTGGTATACTTATTACTTTCACGTGATACATCTGCACTAGATTTCTGAACATTATGTTTCAAACATTGCAATAACAATTTAAAGTCAACTTTGTTATATTGATTTAGAATGATTCACGATTTTCCGTGCTACAAAGCAAAATAGCTTCAGTTTGTTCGTTATCGACAAACTGCTTAGAAAAACATCAGTGATTGTGTGAAAGATCGGTATCGAGTTGTGCGTGGCCTGACGCCGAGTGGCGTAAACAGCCAAACATTATAGAGCCGACATTCAGACGTCATAAACCTTTTCTAGTGTTGAAAAAAAC